AGTGAGAATGAGATGTCTGGTGTGGGCTTTTGAAATATCAAATCCCACCCCCCAGTGACACACCTTCTCCATTAAGGCCACACCTCCAAATCCTTCGCGAATAGTCCACTGGCTAGGAAACAAATTCATATATATGTATGTATGTTAATCATTTTCACTACACACACACACACACACACACACACCAATAATTAAAGAAGAAGGCCATCAATTTGAGAGGCAGTGAGGCCCAAAGGGGGCATGGGAGAGGTTGGAAGTAAGAAAGTAGAAACTGATGTAAGTAAATTTGGTTAAAATAAAAGGAAAAGAAAAAGCACCCTTTGAGGGTTATTGGTCCTACTCTGAACAATGCTGAGCTAGAGGGATAGAAAGCTGAGACAAAGACACACAGAGATCAGTACAGAGTGGGGCTGGTGTCCCATAAGCCACTGCTGCCCGGCTCACTGGAATGCTTCACCATCTAATGTCTTCCTTCCCTAGACACAAGTAGTCTTAACGATGATTTGACCATCAGTCTCCCTAAAACAAATGAAGAAACCAAGAATATCATTTCCCTTTGTAACTTTCTTAATAGTTTCATGGCCTTTGATGCGCATACCTTACAAGTAATTCTATAGATACACAGGCCAAAATTACATATGATTTGTAGGTAGGAAATACCAGCTACAGTAGTTTACAGGACAGTGTCACTGTTAGATAGCATTGAGCAAGTTTGTTGCTCATTTGTTCCGTCTTCTTTGTCTTTAATAAATTCACTTTCTTGCTGGGTACTTAGTGAGTTTCTTGGTTGCTGATTCTCTTAACTATAAAATGATGTAGAGAACAGGAAACATAGTTCTGGAATTTAACCCTGGTTCATTTACCAGGGCTCTTGCTTTCTTTTCCAAATAGTTTGGTTTCTTGCACACTCATTAGGGCCATTTTCCTATTTGGAAAAACCCAGGCAAGGATTTGTGGAGGAAAGTTGCGTGGTGGGTGGCTCTGTGGAGGAAACAGTGGGTGAGGACTGCTGGCCTTTGAAGGATGGGAAGAGGGCAGAGCTTTAATAGGGAAAACTACACACAGAATGTACTGGAAATAACAGTGAGTACCAGGTGTTTTTGCTACAGAAGGCTGGGTCTGCTCACTGATGAGCAAACACACCACAGTTACTTCAAGATCTTCAAAAGAGACGTATGCACCAAAGACCTACACCTTCATAATATAAGGTTTTTATCAACTCACGGAGTAATCACCCACAACAACTTCTTTGGTGTTTTCTTAAGATCCAATGAATGCAAAGATTTAAAGTTCCTCTGGTTATGTCTGGAGAGTACATGTGAAGAAACACAAAGCATTTTTTCCTGATTCCAGAGTCTCTTTTGGTGTACCACATTGGTGAGGTTGGATTCCTCGCTTCCAGAGACATGAACGAGCTCATCAGGACTAAAAAACATCAATGGTGGTGTGATTTTTGAAGATATGCATTGAACCAAGAGGCCACATAGAGAGGAACCTTGCTGTGACTCACACCACTGTGCGTGAATGTAGCTCTAAATTTTATATATTGGAAAACTGAGTTCCCAATTCATATCTAATAGCACCTACAGGTCAGGTCTTTGGTAATTAGTTAGGATTCTATGAGAACATCGGTGTGGGAACTCCACAATGAGGCTTGTGGCTTTCTTAGAAAAGTAAGACAGGTCCACAGAGCTTTGGTTCTGCCTCACCAAATGATGCTCTCCACCACGACATAATGCAGCAAGAAAGACTCCCACCAGATGCCAACCAGATGTGAACTTCATGCCTATAGAATGGAGAGCTAAATAAGCCTCTTTACGAATGGCCAGAATGAGGAATCCAACTTCTGCAACAGAAAGCAGACTAACACACATGATTTTGAAAGATGTTTTAAATACTGGGAGAATGGTGACGGCACAGCTCATTATTACAGTCCACTGAGGGTGGACAGGAAGCGGCACCAGGACACAGTTCCTGTTCTGGGCAAGATGGTTGCTGTCGTGTTGGAAATTCTCACTGGCCTTGTAAGGCTTCCAGAAGAAAAGATAAAAACCAAGGCAAAGTGACCCCTGATCCAAACCAAATCACTATGGCGTTTGGTGTCTAAAAGGAGCTTTCTGTTCTTGACAGTGGTGATTGTTAGTCACGTGTGCTGGGCTAGATTGATTGTCAAATTTGGGGAAGAGAGAGAATTTTCCTCTGGGGTATACTGGCAATTATTTTTCAGTTGTTTTTGCCCTGCCCTGGAGCATGAAGCCAATATCATCTTTAGGATCAGGTGAGTTTATCCACCATGATCAATTTCCTGTGATTGTCTGCTGTTATCACTGGCGGGAGGGAGAGCAACTCTCCTCCATCACTTTGACACTAAAAGCTGTCACCTGGAAATTGACCAGGACATAAAAGTCTGAGCCCCCCGATGACAGCCACAGGAAGATCAAGAGAGTAACAAGTTGTGGAGAGAGTGGGGAGCACAGGCAGGTCGCCCCTCACTCCTGCCCTCGCAGCTCCCACTAATGAGGTACAGGGCTGGGTAACGGGTGTCAGGTCATAACACATCAGCCTCTCGAGGGCTCTGGCAGGGCCTGAAGAGTAATGTGACATGACAGACGCAGTGGAGAATAATGAGTCCCATTCCTCCTGCTGCTGAGTGTTGCCTGCTAGGAACCACAGGTAGCGGAGAAGGCCTTTGTCACCAGAGAAGAGAATGGGCTTCCGGGACACCTGCTTAGGGAACCTTATTGACAGTTTCTTAACTCTGCTGGGTACCTGGCACAGTGGGTAGAAATGTCCCCTCACTAGCCTGTGTGTGGGAGGGTTGGAAGGGTGGGTGTATATGTGTGCTCACGTATGTAGAAGTCATAAAGTATCCTTGCGTGCTGTTGCTCAAGGTAAATATCAGTTATTTTTTTATTTTTAACTGTTTTGGAAGCATTAGGAGGTGTGGCCTTGTTGGATGAGGTGTGTCATTGCAGGATGGGCTTTGAGGTTTCAAAAGTCCATGCCTTTCCCAGCCTCTCTCTCTCTCTCTCTGTTGATGAGTATGGCAGTCAGAGGACCATGGTGGGACTCAGGAGTGAACACTCTCCTACACATTGCTCTTAGGTCAAATTCAAGTCATTGTGTCTTTACACAGCGATAAAAAAAACCTTAAATAAGACAGGAATGTATAGGAATATGTAGCACATTGTTACATATTCTACACTCACCTGGAACTCACTATGTAGCTCAAGCTAGCTTCAAATATATAGCAATCCCCCTGTCTCAGTATCCTAAACTCTGGGATATATGAGCTGGAGTACCTGCATCTGTGAGCCAAGTGGATGTGGTTGCCAGGACCTGAATTCAGTCTTCTGGGGGAACAGGAAGTACTCTAATCTTTAAGCCCTCTCCAGCTCTCTATAAAGATATTTTAATGTATATAATAATAAGGCAACCACTCAGGAATGATTGACTCAACTTTGGAAAAAATTATAGACTTTTGTGTTTTATTTAGATGTAAAAAGTAGCAGACAGTTCCAATTGTTAGCTAAATTGGCCACAGAGCATGTGATATAATTTATCCTATATAAGGGTGACTATGAACAGCTTTTATTTTATATTTGTTTTTGTACTGTCTCAAGGGTGGGAGGAATAAAGTCTATATACATATTTATAGTTTATTATATATATAATGTGCACATATGTACATGCACGTATATATACATATGTATTTAATTCCTTTCACCTTGGGGCAGTGCAAATACATACATACATATGTATATATAATACATTAGTCATTTGGGAATCAATGCATGAAGAGTATATACAAAGGGAAAGGAAAAGAATTCAGGGATACTCTGCTTCTGATCATAATTGATTCGGTTGCTAAAGTTCATTTAAAAAATATCAGAGCACCTCATTGGTCCTTATCAGACCTTGTGAGTGCTCAGTGATGCAGGCTGCCTTGTTCATCAGTGTGACTAGAATGAAAATTATACTGAAATCTGGAAGTATGAGGAATCCTTTAGAAAGAAACATAAAGAAATTGCTTGCCTGCCTAGTTTGTGGAGGCCACATACTTCCCTTCTCAGCCAGGAGACCCCAACTTTCAGCACGGTATGTATTGTTCATATGTCCCTAAAGGTATTCCTAGCCCAGTGCATAGGCCCAGCGTGGCAGAGCCTGGCATGGTCCCTCTTGACAGGTGTGTGCTCAGGAGCCTCTGACTATGAGCGTGACCGTGCAGCTGGTGACAGGTCTTGGGACTGGACAATTGGGACTCCTCGAACAGTGTGGGGTGAATGCCAGGGAGTGATGTAACCTGGACCGGTTTCGTGCCTTTGCTCATTGCTATGGGTTCTCCATATTAGCTATCTCCAGGAAAATTCTTCAGAGGCTGGGGGTAAAAATCCTTCAGAGGCTCAGTGGGTAAAGTGACACACAAGCCTGAGAACCTGAGTTCTGGGTCTCAGAACCCACACGGAGCTGGATGCCACAGTATGTGTCTGTAATCTTAGTGCTCTTCCAGCAGGATGAAGGGGAGAGAGAGCCTGGCTTGTGTAGCAGCAACCATCAGGAGAGCCTGCATCAAGGTGGGAGGGGAAGACTCACACTCAAGGCTGTCCTCTTCCTCTGTGTGTGCGCTGAGCTGTAGCCCACACATGCCCACTCATAGCTAAACACCTGTGCTCACACACAGATCTTTTAAATCCCTCTCTTTAGGGCTATCTTGTTATCAGTCTCTTAGTTTGTAAAAATTCTCTTAGGTTGGAACATAATTACATTATTTCTCCCTTTCCTTTCCTCCAAGCCATCTCATGTGCCCCTCTGTACTGGTTGGTTCTGTATGTCAACTTGACACAAGCTAGTCACGAGAGCCGAAGGAGCCTCAGCTGAGGAAATGCCTCCATGAGATCCAGATGTAAGGCATTTTCTCATTTAGTAACCAATGGGGGTGGGCCCAGCCCACGGTGAGTGATGTCATCCCTGGGCTGCTGGTCCTGGGTTCTATAAGCAGGTGGGTTGAGCAAGTCAAGGGAAGAAAGCCGGTTAGCAGCTCCTGTCTCTGGGATCCTGCCCTGTGTGAGTTCCTGTCCTGACTTCTTCAGTGACCAACAGCAGTACTGAAGTGTAAGTCAAGTAAACCCTTTCCTCCCCAACTTGATTTTTGCTCATGGTGTTTCATCACAGCAATAGAAGCTCTTTTTTACTAAGACACCCTCCCAGCTGGCTCTCTTTCAAATTCATGGCTTCTCTTTCTTTAATTGCTGTGTGTGTGTGTGTGTGTGTGTGTGTGTGTTTCTAAGTATGTAAATATAATCCGCTCTGAATAGTGTTATTTGTAAGTACACCGTTTTAGGGCTGACCGTTTGGTAGTGGATAACCAGTGTAGTCTTCCCTGGTGAAGACCATTTCTGCCACTCTCAGCTGCCCCTGGTTGTTTGTAGCTCTTTGTCCAGGGTTGAGTCCTCATGAGTTTTCTCCTGCCCATAGTATTTTCCTTGTGCAGGTCACTGGCCGGAGAGCTCACTAGTGTACCTTCTGACATTTCTAGGAGAGACAATCTCGCAGCAAATGCCCCGCTCCTCTGCTCTGACAGTCCTTCTGCCCCTCTTCTGAAATGATCCCTGAGCTTCAGGTGCAGGGGTTGTGCTGCAGATGTATTTGGTGGGATTGGGCTCTATAACTGCATTTTGTTCAGTTGTTTATTTGACCATACTTGGGACTGAACCTGGGTCTTTACACACAATAGTCCAATGTTCTAACAATTGAGTGGTGTTTCTAGTCTGCCCATTCCAACTCTAGCATAAAGAGCCCCAATCTGGTCCCTGGGTCTGTTGTGGAATATTACTTTAACTATGTGAAGGTGTGTTGCATCTGTTTATGCTGCATTTATTTACGTAAAGCTTTACTTTGCCTGCCTAAGACACCTGATTGGTCTAATAAAAAGCTAAGTGGTTAGGGTTTGGGTTAGGGTTAGGGCTAGGGTGAGGCAGTAAAGGGATAGGTGGGGCTGATGGGCAGACACAAGAAGTAGGAGGAGGAATCTAGGCTCAAGGAGAGAATGAGGGAGATGCCTGAAGTCAGCCAGCCAGGTAGCCTTGAGCCAGCTAGGCACAGAGTAGGACATACAGAATGAAAGAAAGGTAAAAAGCCGTAGGGCAAAATGTAGATGAGGAGAAACGGGTTAATTTGAAAGAGCTGGTGGGACGAGCATAAGCTAAGGCCGAGCATTCATAACTAATAATGTCTCCATGCCATGTTGGTGGCCCAAAAGAAAGCCTACTACATAGGTCTCTGGGACAGATTTCTCCACTGGTCTCTGACCAAGATTTCCTTTAACCCTGCTCAGTGTATGATCCCTGGGCTGATGTCTGAGCATTGGCAGTGTCCACAGACCTCCTGAATGCTAGACTGATGTCCCTCTTGGCTCCTGTGATGGGTGCCCTGACTCCTGTGTGGTTGCGGGCCAGTGCACCGTGGACAGGCATGGCCTGAGCTAAGACAGTGGCATGGAAAAGACACGTGAGGTTCACAAACTCTGTTACTCCTTCCTCAGATACAAATGTTGCCCAAACACATCTAGACGACAACTTGATAGTACCTGCTTTGATTTGCTTGAGGTTAAGTAAGAAAAACGTGGGGACTACATGGTTCGAGCCCTTAGAAGCTGGGTGACCTTTGTTAAGCTATTTAACCTTTCTGTGTTTGAAAGGCCTCACCTGGAAAATGAAAATAACTGTGGTATTCATGTCTGAGGATTGCAGTGGGGATTATGTGCGCTAATCCCTAAGATGCTCGGAGTAGTATCTGGTACAAGGCAAATGTTCACTAATGTCAGCCATTACTGCTGTCATCATTCTTATTAGTTGGATGGATTAGACGATGGATTAGTTCTTCTTTGGCTGTTTGGATCCGTTCAGAGCAGCGAGATGTCTAACACTGGAGCTTTTGAAGAAGAGTGCAGATCAGGTGAGAAAGGGAGGGTGGGCAGTGGACTTGGCCGCACAGAGATAGGTGTCTGGGACCTTCACGAGAGCATCACCGGTAGACAGGTGGTGCTGGGAGGCCAGCCTTAGTGAGGACCAAGAGAGAGCATCTGGGGTTTGCTGAGTTCTACAACACCAGACAGTCAACTTGCACCTGGATCCCTATAGGTACAGACGTTACCTCACACAGGCTGCATCACCAAGATTCTAGTCTACCACTCCTCCCCTCTCCTTTCTCTTGTTACTCACTCAGGAAAATTTCTTAGGTTGTTCCTCCTACTAGGCACAGATCCATCCGCAGAGAGAGATGCCTGGAGATGTGCTTAGTGCTGATACCCAGTCCTTAGAGAAACTGGTTCCTCATCGACAGGCATCCCAGTTGTCGATCAGTCTATCACTCACTGGGAGGGGGTTAAACCCACCCAGGTTTCAGTCCCTTCATTTTCCAGTACCAAGCAGGTCTTTGGTTAGGGTTTCATTCCACACCTGTTGGGATCCCTATTGGAAAATCCCAAGGGGAAAGGGGATCTTGAGCCTCCAACTTCAGCTGAGGAACTATTGACAACTGATGTTATCTGGGGCATGATACTCAGTTTTGGTCTCCAACTCTGATATAGTCTCTGGAAGGTCAATTGTTTCCAGTTGAGAGGGCTTCATGGGCATATGGGCAGCATAAATTGGAATCAGTGGGTTATTTCAAAAAAGGACAGGGAGTTGGGAGGAGGTGGGGAGATGAAAGTCAGGGTGAATATTAAAATACATTGTATAAAATTCTCAAAGAATTAATGAAGGTGTCTATTAAGATAAAATGCTCCTTTGCTCTTTCAGACAGAGTGGACAGGAGGTTGGTTACCAAGAAGCTCAAAGGTTATTGAAAGAAAACATGGCACAACAGAGATCACTCATGGCAGACAGAGAGCAGTGACTCCACCAGAGGCTGGGGGATGAAAGGGGAGTTGTCCGAGTCGCTCCCCCAAATCAGAGGAGTCCCAAAGAGACTCGAGGAGCTTTAAAATGTGAGCAGCTTCTAGGAGCTCCACGAGGAACATAAAACCTTGTTTCTAGTGAATTACAAAAGCTTGCCACATACCATTTTGTTTAGATATTTTTAAAGATGTTTTATTTTTAATTATGTGTGTGTGATAATGAGTTTGTGCACGTGAGTGCGGTGCCCAGAGAGGTCAGAAGAGGGCGACAGACCTCCTGGAACTGGAGTTACAGGCAGTTGTGAGATGCCTGATGTGGATGCTAGAACCAAACTGGTGCCCCTCTGAGGAGCAGTGCCATGGTTATAATGCTGAGTCATCGCTCTAGCCCCTTGACATATTTAATAAATACTAGATATAGGAATGAGACAACTTTATCACACAGTCAAAGCAATAACTTGACTGATCTAGATTCTGTCCTTCTAACTTGGAGTTTAGTCTCCATTCAGGTTTGAAAACAAAACGTTAGCTTGGAAATGAATCCAGCGATGCTGGCTGGAGCCTTGGTTTATCCCGTACAGAGGGAGTTCGTCAGCCTTGCAGTTTAACCATTAACTGGAATCTCTTTTCACTGGGTTGTTCTAAAATTACCCTAGCAGACCCATAGGAGAACACTAATGTTCCTTTTCTTTTGCATATGCCCTTGTGTTTAGAGAACTCTCTAGAGGGTGAGACTAGGAAGGGAATTTTGGGGGAAAATATGTCATGAATTTTATTCCGTTCTTAAAAATTATTTTTTAAATATTTATTTTTGTTTTATGTGTATTTTGCCTGCATATATGTATGTGTGCCACATATGTACAGGGCCTGTGGAAGCCAGAACAGGGTGTTGAACCCCTGAAACTGAAGTTACATACAGCTATGAGACACTGTGTGTGCTGGGGCTAAACCCAGGTTCTCTTAAGAGAAGTATCAAGTGCTCTAACTACTGAGCCATCTCTTCCACCCCCATATCCCACTGTTTTTACCTCCCAAATAAGAGGGCATCATTTCTGTATTTTGGAGGACATAGGGAGCTCGCTAGAGGGAGGAGGACATTTTGACTGGAACAAAACTTAGAATCTATTTGTTTGGTTTTTTTGGTTGTGAGCCTAGCCTTTAATGGCTGAGCCGTCTCTCCAGCCCTTGTTTGGTTTTTAAGGAAATACAACCATGTCTCTCAGGGTATACACATAAAATACACCAGTGAGAGTCCAGCTAAGAAACTGAAGTATGTAAACAGGGCAAAATAGAACAACATCAAAAGAACAAATCAAACAAAAAACCCAAACTAAAATTTAGCTTCTAGGATCACCTAGAATGGAATGCAGCCCACACAGACGTGCAGCCCGGTTCTGTGTCTTCTAGGGCAGCATTCTGGCAGGAATGGAATTGCCAGGCAGGACTGGGTCCCAGCGAGTCCAAGCATTCGTTCCACGACTTGCTGTATTTTAAAGGGCACTGGCCACCTTGTTTCTAGGGGTACCTCAGAAACAAAACCAACAAAACCAAGTACCCATAACCTTCCCACGGTCTTTTGCGGATGAGATAGGGTGAAAAAGCACCTTTAAAAATATGGTACAATCTGGCCCACTAAAGTGGGCGGGTCACTGATATTGAAATTAGTCAATAACACCCCGTCAGATTTCTGTTACTATAACTATATTTCTCAGTTTGGGCTTTATTAAGAAAAGAGGTTTGCTAACCCACAGTTATGAAAACTGAAGTCTAAGGTGGGCCACACCATTGGTTTGGTTTCTGAGGACTTCCTTGCCTGGATCCCATCATGGTGGTGGCAGCACTATGGGCATATGGGTGAGCGGGAGAGATCTAATGGAGAGATGGTAAGCCAGAGCTTGGGGATGGGCTGATAACGCCCTCCGCTTGGGCATATTGGAAACCAGGCTCATCACATAACAGGTCCCATGGGGGACACACTTCAACCATACCTAAGCCATAAGAAATATCCTGCGAAGACTCCGCTGAGACGAGACTGCTCTGAGTGGCTATCACCTTACTGGAGGGAGAGGAGGCAGCATTGGCTCTTGGGATACCATGGGAATTGGAAGGCAGGATGAGACAGAAAGTGAGACATTGTGCATCGTGGGCACATGGGCTCTGGACACCCTTGAGGAAGTGAGGAAGCGGCAAGGGGAGGGGCACATCTGTACTTCACTTGGGAATTTTGCTAATTACAAAATTGAAGGCCCTTCCAAGGAAACTCTTAGGGTCTTTGTAGGATTAATTGTGGTGGGGCGATATTATGGGGGCTGCAAACTCAATACTTGGAATAGAAGGGAGATTAGAGGCAGACAGATACCGGCTGACATTCAGGAGAGCAGAGGCGTGTCTAGCAGCTTCCATGATGCTGGTGCTGAAGTTGGTCCTGATGCTGACTTAGTTAGGGTTTCCTAACCAAGTTGCTTTAAAGACACACCATGATCACAACTCTTATAAAGGAAAACATTTAATTGTGGCTTAGAGTTAAGAGGTTTAGTCCATTGTCATAATGATGGGAAGCATGTCGGCATGCAGGGAAACATGGCGCTGGAGAGGTACCCGAGAGTTCTATATCTGGGTCTGTAGGCAGCAGAAAGAGCTGGGCCTCGAGTGAGCACTGGAGACCTCAAAATTCACCCCCAGTGATAGGCTTCTCCAACAAGGCCACACCTCCTAATAATGCCACTCCCTATGGACCGATGGGAGCTATTTTCATTCAAACCACCACACTGGCACAGATTCATGCTGATGCTGCCAGGCCCACCATTTAATTTTGGTGCCATGGATTAAGTAAAATTCACTTGGAGATTAGTTTTAAGCAGTGAGTGTGGGGGAAGGGATAGTCAAAGAAACACATGCTGAGCAGAACCAAAGAAACACACTTTGGCCCTGCAAACAAATTATGCTTGTGGGGATAGTAGTGCATCGAGCGCAGATGTCTGTGGAGACCAGAAGCATCAGATTCCATTGCCTTTGCAGTTATAGGCAGTTGTGAGCAATCTAGGATGGGTGCTGGTAACGGAACTCAAATGTTCTGCAAGAGCAGTATACGCTCTTAATGATTGAACCATTTTTCTAGCTTCTGTTACTCCATTTTTATTAGATTTACTTGGGGGGAGGAGCATGTCATAGCACATGAAAAAAATTAAATCTAAAACAAGAGAGTCAAAACAAGAAAACCAAACCAACAATAAGAAAAACAGCAACAAAAGCCCCAAACCAAAGTGGATGCTGTTCCTTAACACTTCTGTGTTCTAAAGTAACATATTAGGTTCAGCACATATTTGGTAGTATATAGAGTATATTAATTATAAACATTGATGTAATGACTAACACAGGCCTTGTGGGAGTATATAGAAAAATAGGTTCAAATTTAAGGAATGCAGCCAGATTTATTAAAGGCCAAACTCTTTTTAAAATTCTGTTTGAAATGGTTCATTACTACCTTATATGCTACACCATAATATTTTTTTTTTTTTTTTTGGTTTTTACGAGAGGGTTTCTCTGTATTGTTTTCGAGGCTGTCGGTCCAGCCTGGCCTCGAACTCACAGAGATCCGCCTGCCTCTGCCTCCCGAGTGCTGGGATTAAAGGCGTGCGCCACCACCGCCCGGCTATACCATAATATTTTGAATATTCTTATTATTATAAAGTTCAATGCGTTCTTCTATCACTAGTTATCTGTATTAATGTATAAACAGTGAGTTGCTTGAAGGCAGGGACCCTTTCCACCCTTATGTTCCCAGGTTCTGGCCCATTGTGGAGGCTCAGTTTGGTAGCCTGAAACCATGGACAAATAAATCAGCAGCAGCCTGGGATTCTGGCAGGAGGGGAGTATGCTCAACACACACTATATATGTAGAAGAAGACCCAAAGTCAACAATGAGAATAGTTTAAATAAGTGTGAATGTTGCAGTTTAGGTAAAGGAGAACTTCCCGGCCCACCTCTTCTGTTTCGCAGCATAGTCAGGGCTCTGCGAATGCTGAGCATGTAGTCTGACATCCAGGGGTATGCCCAGCCTCCCCATTTGTCACAACAGCTGGATGATGATGTCCACCTTGCAAAAGGATTTTGATTCTGGGTACCCATTTATAGGCTGCAGTCAATTCAAGAATTTGGTTCTGACTGTTGGGTTCCTGAAATTAAGGAGTAGCTCATATGTATCAGCTTTTTGTCAGCTATTTGGTTATAATCTGGGATGATATCTTTAAATCTTGAAGACTGGGCAGGCAATGGCTTAGTGAGTAAAGACACGTGGTACCAAATCCAATGATCTGAATTTCTTCCCTAAGATTCGCATGGTAGTAAGAGAGAGCTAACTCCTGAACTTTGTCCTCTGACCTTCACACTGGCATCCCAGGGCAAGTGTGCCCACATGTGCGTGCACATACACACGTACACATGCAAACATGCACTAAATAAAAGAAAGAATAAAAAACCCAGAAGAACTGTATTCAGGAAGGGAAATTGGAAAATCACAGTTTGGCTCTGAGAACCTGACATAAGGAATTTGATAGCACCTGACACCCAAGGGGAGCTTCTCAGAGATTATCACCTCATTCCTTAAAGGGTCAAAACTTCAAAAGAAGTCAACCCAGTTTAGAAAGAAGCCACAATACCGGAAGAATGAAAACTAAATAGACATTTGGCACCCATCATGTGACATCTGCTGGCAGAGGCAGCTGTGCTGTGAAACAAGGCCCCAACCTGTTCTGCAAGTAGAATTGGTGAGAATTTCTGCGTGTTTTATGGTCATGAGACTGTGTGTCTATCGGCAAATCTGTCCTAGAGTTGCCATTTCATGTCTCCTTGGTACTGTCCCTACTAAAGCTGACTTTGCACAAGTGGCAACCAGAGAGGTCTTTGTTCACAGGCGTGATAGAATTCCTCCAGGAATCACCTCCAAGGGTACTATTACTGAGACTGAAATCCTGGTTACCTTTCTTCAAGTAGTCTAGGACACATCACTGGATAACATCCTTTTTCCAGACAAGGTTCAATTTGAAGGATTTCTCCCTGTGCTAGGGGTCAGGAGACAGAGGTTTGCAGAGAAGTGAGAAGAGGTCTCTCTTACCTGATCTTTGTACAGCTGGAAGTATACACATATTTACATGGCTAAAAAGAGTTGTATCAACTAACCAGTCACCCACCCAACCAACCGACCAAAGATAACAGCATCTAGTTCTTGCCCTGGGGAGGTAACGTGAATGATGTAATTCAAGGAGGAAGCAGATGGCTGCCCACCCTTCTAGCATGCCCTACTGCATCCCTCTACTTTGACTGCTGTCTTTTGTTGTCATGACAGCTAAGAAGGCTAACTATGGTTCTTTTCTAACAATTGCCTAGTCGTTTGCCCCTTTTCCACGACCAGTAACTGTTAACACACTATTTGATGAGAGGCATGTAAACTGAATGCTCTGATTCAAGCCAAAGCTATTTAAGCAAGTTAACTTTCTATGTGTCTGCTTATGAAGCTTCAGGTTGATCACCGACAGTGAGAGAAACAACTGCAATGGTAAAAAATAAAACAAAAACAAAACCTCTTCTTGCTTCTGGGAACTGTTACTTTAAGGGTAATTATCCTGGTAGC